AAAGTACCTGTGCTTTTGCGCATTCTCAGCGCTGGCACCCTCGCAAAATTGCTCAGTTTGCGAATTTAGACTGAATAAGCCCACATGCTGGTTACAATTTCTGTCAGCGAGCACTTAAATACGATGATGGGCTAGGAGAAGTATTTTGGAATGTGAGGGATGGATTATCTTTCCCATTCTTTTGGTGATGCATTTTAGAAATCCATTTGTTTGGGATGAGGATGAAAGGATTAACCGGGCAGATGAGGGGTGTTGAGGGAGAGGGACATTTTGCTGGCGTTGAAGCGAATCCCCAAGTGGCTGTTGCAGCTGCAGCAGCAGCAGCAGCAGCTTTAGTCTTCCAAGCGACAAGAAACCATAAATTTGTTTGATTGCTCTATTCACTGCTCCTTTAAGGACTGCTTTTTATGATAGCCAGGCAAGTGTAACAAAAGGCCTAGGCGCAAGAAACTGGAACAAAAGCCTATAGGACCGAGAAAGTGGAATAAAAGCCCGGGTCCCTTATTTTTGGCAAGCAAGTGGAGACGGATAGTGCAGAGCGTGAGTACTAATGTCTGATGTACGCTGAGCATAGAAATTGTTTAATCCAAAATAAAAGACCGCGAATCTTTCCTCCTTTCTCAGTACTTTTTTCCAAAAAAAAGAACAGAGTTTTGGATTATTTCTGTGAGGGCATTTGTTTTAAAAACCAATTTCAATAGCACGCATTTTACATGGATACCGGGAACAGCTCTTACTTTATAATATGCTCGCCCAATTCATACAACTGACAGCTTTTCCAGTTGCTTTGACCAATGCTGCATTGCCTGGAGTGACCAGTCTGCTGATGGGCCGGAAGAGAAATCGGATTTTGGGCCTGTTGTCGATGCGACAGGCAGTTTCCGACCGCAACGATCAACCTTATGACAAATTGTTTATGCAAGCAAAAATACGCAAGGTGTTATTTTCGCTGCAAAACAGCTAACATACTACACAGCAGATACCCGGAATACCGAGAAGACCGCTAGAGCAATCAGTGTTAGCTAGTGATGCTACTAAGATTCTCCGACATACTCCGCAGGCAGCAGCTGTTGTTTGCGTATTAGTTGTGGGTGGAATATTATAACTGTAAATAAATTGAGCCTGGCGCTAAAATGAGCTGCCCTGAGTGGATATCATGTTCTGGACTGGATTACTAGTGCTCTTTGTGTTTGTTTGTGTGTATGTGTGTGTGTGTCTGCGTGCGTGTGCGTCTGTCTGTGTGTTTGTTTGTTATGGCGCCGGCCGGGCTGCAGATCCAGCGAAAGTGAGATGCATTGCGAGGATAAGAAAGCATCCATGAATGCGTGCACATTTCAATAGACTTCTTAAATTTATATATCAAAAACACTGCTCCAGCCAGCAGCAGCAGCAGCAGTGCACTGGCATAGCGGACGTGTACGCAGGGCTAGGCCCGAGCACATCGATTTTGGGCCTTTGCTTGGCTGGTCAAAGGAGTCGGCTGGCCGTCTCTTCCACGGCCACAACAATTATGCAACTGCCTCTCGCCAGGCTGCTTAACAGTTTTTATTCTTCCTGCCTACTGTTTTTTCTTCTAGTTTACTGCGTCACAACAGTCACAGGTTCGAATTACAAACTGCATTTTTAAAAAAAAAATCTTAATAATAGATGATTAGTAATAACGAAATTAATAATAATCATATTAATGGCATTATTAAAAGCGATGACAAAAATAATACTTAGTACTTGAAACAGCTACTTCTGTCCCAGTGAATAATAATTATACTATTGTTATCAACAATGATAATAATAGTAATAATTGGTAAC